TCAAGGTTCAAGTGAGGAAACTGCTGCAAGAGGGTATATGAGTCCTCCCAAGCTGCATCTTCAATAGGCAAACCTACCTATTTGACAAGGCATTGAGGCACCTTATGTGCCCCTTTGGTAACATCCCTCGTCTTTAAAACAGCTTCAGGTGTAAGTGTGACAGAGGGAGTTTGGTCCAACAATTCAATAGGTGTAATCTGATTAGTTGGTTTGCCGATACACTTACGTAACACTGAAACATGGAACACAGGATGGATTCGAGAAGAAGGTGGCAGATCGAGTTTATAAGCCACATCACCAATGCGTTGAATGATCTGAAAGGGTCCAAAGAAACGCCTGCTCAATTTGGAATGGCGTTGCAGACGAACTGAAAGTTGTCTATATGGTCGAAGACGGACATACACCCAATCACCAATATCAAAGATCACCTCCCTACGACCTTTGTCAGCTTGGAACTTCATCCTATCTTGAGCCTGCAGTAAATTAGACTTCAACACAACCAATGTTTCATCGCGTTGTCGCAAAGAACCCGAAACTGTAGGATTGGAAGTGTTGTCTAACACAAAACGAGAGACAATAGGAGGAGGCCGGCCATAGACTGCCTCAAAAGGAGTCATCTTGGAGCTGTGTTGGTATGAAGTATTGTACCAAAATTCTGCCCAGGGAAGAAGAGGGACCCATGTAGAAGGAGTATCTGTAGCAAAACAACGGAGATACATTTCAAGGCATTTGTTCAGTGACTCTGTTTGGCCATCCGTTTGTGGATGATAAGCAGAACTCTTGGCCAAATGAGTTCCCTGGAGTTTGTTAATTTCCGTCCAAAATTCAGAGATGAAAATGGGATCGCGGTCAGATACGATTTTGGTAGGAAAACCATGTAACCGGACAAATTCTTGGACAAAGACTTCTGCTACTTTTTGACTGGTAAAATTTGCAGATAGAGCAATAAAATGTCCATACTTCGACAATCTATCTACAATCACCAAGATCACAGTGCGCCCCTGAGATGATGGAAGGCCTGTAATAAAGTCCATGGAAATTTCAGCAAAAATCTCAGAAGGAATCGGCAAGGGAGACAGTAATCCCGCAGGTTTCAGTTGTGAATCCTTCATCTGCTGACAAATTTGACATTCAGAGACGAACTTCTTGACATCAGATCGCATGCCAACCCAATAAAACTTTAAGACAGTCGGTGAAATGTGCGAGCGACGCCTGCATGACCTCCAATTTTGGAAGCATGAAATTCTTCCAATAGCATTAGACGCAAAGATGCATCCTTGGGAATAACCAGGCGATTCTTGAATAACAGGAGACCTTCCTGAAAGGAGAATGAGGACATAAAATCTGGAGTATTCAACAATTTCTGTTGGAGAGCTAATAATTCCTCATTGGATTTGTTCAACGCCTTAAGCTTGTCAACCAAAGCTATTTCAGTGATGGCCAAAGATAACGCAAAACAAGCAGGAACGCGAGATAAAGCATCGGCAGCAGAATTTAATTTGCCTGGGCGAAAGCGTATCTCAAAATCATACCCAATTAACTTGCTAAGCCAACGTTGTTGTTCAGGGGTCTGGATAACCTGACTTGTAAGGGCTTTCAAAGGTTGCTGATCAGTTAAAATGGTAAAACGACGGCCCAATAAGTATTGGCGCCACTTTTGAACAGCCTGCGTGATGGCAAACATTTCACGATTGTAAGTAGAAGCAGCTTGCATCCTTGAAGATAATTTTTGGCTGAAGAATGCGATTGGGTGACTGTCTTGGCAAAGAACCGCACCAATGCCAGTACCTGATGCATCTGTTTCTACCACAAAATCCTTGGAAAAATCAGGCAAGAATAAAACAGGGACGGAGCCAAGAGCCTCTTTCAATTTGGCAAAAGCAACAGAAGCCTTATCGGACCATACAAATGAGTCCTTTTTCAGAAGATCAGTGAGGGGTGAAGCTAACTGGGCATATCCTTTGACAAAACGACGATAGTACCCCGTTAAACCCAGAAAGGCACGGACATCCTTTACAGATGAAGGCAAAGGCCAAGAAACGATAGCAGTAATCTTCTCAGGGTCAACTTGTAAGCCTTTTTCAGAGAGAATATGACCCAAGTAAGAAATGGAAGACTGCCCAAATTGGCATTTTGATTGCTTCACCACCAAAGAATTTTGTCGGAGAAGATCAAAGACTGATCTAAGGTGTTGTAAGTGATCCTGCCAAGACGTGCTATAAACTAGGATGTCATCGAAGAAAACAAGGACAAATTGGCGTAGAAATGGCTTAAAAATGGAATTCATGGTTGATTGAAAAGTAGATGGAGCATTCGAAAGACCAAATGGCATCACAGTAAATTCATAATGGCCTTCATGAGTTCGAAATGCGGTCTTTTCGATATCTGGGGGATGGAGGCGAATTTGATGGTATCCGGCTAATAAGTCCAACTTAGAGAATACACAAGCATTGTGCAATTCATCAAAAAGCTCATCGACGGTTGGGATTGGAAATCTATCCTTAACAGTGATAGCATTAAGAGCCCTGTAATCCACACAAAAGCGCCAAGTACCATCCTTCTTACGCACTAACAACACTGGTGAAGAATATGGACTCGAGCTGGGACGAATAACTCCCGACTTGAGCATCTCAGAAACAAGCTTTTCAATTTCAGCTTTTTGGAAGTGGGGGTAACGATATGGCCGGACATTTACAGGATTAGCTCCTGGCAAGAGGGGAATGCGATGATCTTGTGGTCGTTGAGGTGGTAAAGAGGACGGGTGATGAAAAATCTCTGGAAAAGAATTTAGAAGAGTGGCTAAGTCAGGGGGGTGATGGCATGGTGATATGAGGGTAGAAGATTGAAGATCTAGACGGAGAAAATATGAAATAGAATCTGTCTTAGTGAAGCGCCTGAGAGTGGACATATTAATTTGGGCAGGAGAGGGGGCAGGATCACCTTGCCATCGGTGATGTTTCCCGTCCAGTGTAAACTCAAAAGTACGATTGACATAGTCTGTCAAACATGGACCTAATGTGGCCAACCAAGTAACTCCAAGGACCAAATCCGAACCATGCAAGTCAATAATAAAGAAGTCTGTGACAAAGGAGAAGCCCTGAATGGTGAGTGCTACACCACGAACGACACCTAAACATCGCAGTTCTTGGCCATTTCCGACCATAACTGAAAAACCCGAAGAAGGTTCTACAAGTAATTTGAGTGCTTTGGCAGCACGAGGCTGAATAAAATTGTGTGTGCTACCTCCGTCAAGGAGAATCTGCACAGAGAGGCCTTTGATAAATGTAGTGACACGAATCGTAGAGGGATGAGGGCCACCGAACAAGGCATGGTAACTGATGCTAAGTAGAGAAGGGTTTTCAATGGTGGTAGCTGGAGGTGGTGAATCTGATGGGGGTGGAGACAAGTCATAAGGAGAGTCCTCTGTAGTATCATCATCGGCAAGAAGTAAAAAGAGTTGAGGGATGGATGAACATTTATGACCCTTGTGATATTTTTCATCACAATTGAAACAAAGGTTAAGTTCACGTTTTCGTTGAAGCTCTGTCGGTGTTAGCTTCCTGAATGATGTACGACCAACACCTGGAATAGATGCAGTCGGGGCTGAGGAGCTTGAAGAAAGGGTCGGATTTTTAGGGCTAGGAGAGGTGTGGAAAGAAAATGGGCTGGCAGGAATTTTTGACGGATAGTTGGGCCGGGTCATCGTCCCAGCTTGGGCCAACTTTTTTTGCTCTTGCAAAAAGGCCAGACTAATTGCTTCATTGAGGTCCGCGGGTCGAAAAGCCAGAACATCTGATTTAATATCAGGGAGAAGTCCAGAGGTAAAAAAATGCTTCATTAAAGGCGGCGATACATCAGAGGTACGATTGGCCAGTTTCTCAAATTGAGAAAGATAGTCACGAACGGAGGTTTGCATCTGTAGTTTTGCCAACAAGCTTTCTGGTGCCTCCATTGATTTAGACCCAAAACGAGTAGCAAGAGCCCTAAGGAAGAGGGCCCAACCACAGAGATGGGGAAGCTGATATGCTGGCAAATCTAGCGGTGTTGTTAAACAGGATGCTTGCTTTTGCAGATGGTGAAACTCAAGTAGAATCGACATGAAGTAGCTTATACTGTGCAGTCTTGAACCACTTGATGTTTTTGGGATTTTGGAGGGCCAATGCTACCAAGGAAAGCGATACGTGTTCTTATGGTCTGAACAGTTTATTTCTCCTTACAGATATATGATCTGGATTATATGCATGTATTAACCTAGTTATAACTCTGGATAGCCCAACTTAGATTTGGATTTACAGTTACATAAGCCAACTACTTTTTGTAGCTTTAAATTGTGCAGACTGAAGTAATATGAGTCAATAGGTTCAATTAATTAGGTACTGACTGGTTTAATTGTTCATTTGAGATAGTTATCCTTTAAGTCTGATCAACTTCATTTGGGGGGTAGTGGACGGGGAAATCGGGGAGTGGATTACAACGTGAGGAATCAGACTCCATCAATAAGGTGAAAGCTTAGGTAACGAACCAACTAAGCTACTAAGATTCTTCAAGTTGGATTAACTTAGGTACTAAGTGCATAAAAAAAGCTTGTGATTGGAACACAATTGACCCAATCGTTATTTTTCTGCACGCTTTTTACTCAAGTGGCTTTCAGCTTCTCTTTTTTTAATTTATAGGCACAAGAGGTCAAATGTTGATTGTTGTGAAAATTACTGAATGAATCTATTTTACTCTTACTTCGATCTCAGAAGAATGCAACAACCATCAAAATAGGCAAGAAACCATTTCTAGGAATTGCTACTTTTGCTAATCCTCGACACACTAGTAATTAAAGGACTAATTAGTTTTCATGTGTTCCTAGCTTTAAGAAACTCTGATGTTGAACAGTACCATCCTTAAATTACATCAAACATTTAGATAGGCTAAAGATGGTTCTCATGCATCACCAAATTGGCTTAATGTTTTTTTTCCGAAACATATTTTGCGTGTTTTATGAGCATGTGTAACAAGAGGAACTTTGTATTAAAGATGAACTTGTTGCAGGTCACAAGAGGGACCTGTTCCTCTTCTTCTGGGAATAACAAGAAGCAAAACAAAGGAAAAAGGAAGAAAAGGGAGGTTCCAGATCTATTCTAAGCAACTAAAAGAAAAGCAAGTTCATCCATGCCTTCTTTAGTGAAATCTGCCACTACTTATACTACTCTAGTAGCTATTACTCATGCTCTTTTGCTATCAGAGTCTGTTTCCCTTTTGCATCTGGGACCACGTAGTGGTCCAGGTATTGTGGCACTCGTTTGTACCTGGTACTACGCCTGTTGTTGTCCAACTTGTCCTGCGGAGTCATTACAGACCGCCTAGCCTAAGGCTATTACACATCCAACACCTTAGGGAATTAGTTTGATCATCAATTGAGTGACTATGAAACAAGATCAACACATTGTAAGTAATCAACGTCATCCTTTCTATTGCAAAAAAAAAAGAAAAAGAGTATGTATTACAAAATAAGCAACATTAATGGCTACATTTTGTTGCTGCATCACGAATTTCATGAAAAAGAAGATGAGTTTTTATCACAATTTTAGACGTACGCTTGTAGCAAGACAAAATGCTCAAACTCCCTTCGATGATCTATATAGATTTCGTTGAACTTGGAGTTAAATGGAGGATTTCTCTGCAATTCAGCAGATAAAATAGTATTGTCAAATAAATAATGGGTTAATAGTGTTCTCTATAAATGAAGGAATCCATCGATCGCCTTGAATGAAATTCTGAACAGAGTATGAATACACATGTTGAGCTGGAATTTGGCTACTCCACAGCACTCGTTCTTTTGCATTAGCTCCAGCTCCAGTATTTCCGAATTCTCCATAGTAAAGTGTATTCAAAGCAAATTCACCACTCCAAGGCATCCATCCATCAGGATTAATAAGATCCCCAAATTGACATTCTATAAAAACTGTCCTCGAATATTCCTTCCACGGCCTTCCAAGGTAAGTTTTGTGTACACTAGGATTACTGTTATACAACTTCATATATTCTGGAGTTCCATTGATGGAACAATTGTGGAAGACGAAACCAGTTGATTGACCTGGCTCTATTCTACCGTGAGCAGTGACAGCATTGGTTTCACCATTCTCTGGATTTACTATTCGAGGGGAAACTAAGATGTCACAGTCTTGGAAGAAGGCAGCCGCGTTTCCAAAGATGAAGTCTACATTACCTTGGATTCGACATGACTTGTAATATTGGCGCAAAGAATTGACATAAAGTGTGTCTTGGTTACCCAGAAATTCACAATTTTCTATCACAGAACGATCACTGCTGGATCGAAAAGCTACTGCTTGTTGAGCACCAGCACCTGCTGTGTTTTCTATCGTTAGATCCCTGGCCATGAATCCATCACCAAGTACTCCTGTTTTTTAAAACAAAACAATAAAACATGATCAAAACGACCCAAAGCACCTAAAAACTATCAACTGTAGCTCTAAAGCAGATGTACACCTTGGAATATTTTTTTTGAGTTAAAGCAACAATTAAAATAGGACGAAGGAAGTAAGTTAAGTAACTTTGTTATTATAATAATGGTAAAAAATAATTATTTTAATGTGAAAAAATATGATATTGCGGGCATTATTCATTGATCGTATTTGAAAATTTTCTCCTCATGCACCTGCTAACTTAGAATTATTAATTATAGGATGGGGATGTTTTATCCAACAATTTGGCAATGCATGTTATGAGCATTAAATACTAGGCTACATAGTACTAGTAGAAAATAACTACCACAGATGTGGTGCTTCCTTTTTTAAGTAGAGGTTCGGGTTCAAATTTTGAATATAGAAACAACTTTGGTAAGAAGGAGATGGACTTCAATGCGAGTACCGAATACCAAATTTGTAGTGATAAAAGACTTTCCAAAAGAGAAAATAAACTACTTACCGACAGTAGCAGATTCAAAAGTGGTGACGCCACTGTTGGCCATGTTACCAACATTCAATGATCCTGTAATAACAGTTTGTCCCATTCCATCTCCTAAAAACACCAAATTCCTCTTTGCCATAGGAACCCTAACAATCTCATCATACAACCCCGCCTTGATCCATATCACAAATCTCTCAGAAACCAAGTTGTTAGGCGCTGCATTCACCGCATCCTGCACCGTCCTATAGTCACAATTTCCTGCCTTGCAAACCATCACATTCGGCTTCAAATTCGATGGCACTCCTCCCTTCACATCCATTCTGATAATGTCCAAATATAAATTTCGTATCAAGTCAAAACCAGACAAATAAATTGAAGCACAAATTTTCAATACCTGGTTCCTGTAACACCTTCCCAAAATCCTTGACGTTCAGTTTTAGGCGGACTCCATGATCCGATTTGATTCCCATGAATATCAAAATTGATTATCATCCCCAAAGTATTGCTGGTAAACCCAATCAATGACTCCATTAACACTATAGTTTGTATAACTCGTGAGGTGTCATTCACCTTCTGTAAACCCGCGGAGCAGCCATGTTGATACCCTAAGGCTGCGCTCATCCATGCGCGAGCGTCCTTAATTTCTCCTCTTGGCAATGCATCATTAGCCGTCTGTTTAAATCTGTATTCTGAAAAAGCGAGTCCCTCCACACAATTTACCGCGGCAACGGTAACATTCACGTTTCCAGCAGAAGCTTTTTGTATATCCTTCACCAAGGCCTGGGCCTTGGTGAGTTTATGCGAGGAGCGAGCTAATGCTGAATATATTATTTGAAGGGTTGAGAGATTTGAAGGAAAGTGATAATGGAAAGAAGCCTCGCATTTTGATGGATCATGTGAGACTTTACAGGCTTCTCGAATTTCAGGAGGCAAATGGTGGTGATGATCATCAATGGCGTGAGAGAGGGAGAAGAATAAGAAGAGGATTGCCAGAGAGAAATTACCAGATGCCATTGAATTGCATTAGCTAATTTGGTTTGTTGAAGTTGTTATATATATATATATATATATATATGGATGAATGGTTGAAAAAGAAGTGTCTGACCAGTGTGAAAGGGAGGGGCTTAGGATGAGTTTGGGTGATCAATGGAATTTTTTACCAAAGTAAGTCATTATTAAAATCAATTCACCAAAATAATACTTTTTTTTTTTGAAATTTTACAAAACTAATATTAACGTAGTTCTCGGTAACGTTTTATGTTATATTTTATTCAAAAAAATTCAATAACAAAAAGACAAAATCTGACATAGTAAACAGACATAAAACGCTATTGTCAATAACGTTTTATAATTCGTTACTCTGAGACATATTTTACAGCTAAAACGTAACTCACGATAACGTTTCTATGAAATATATAATTTTCTCTTTTTCTTCTCTTTTCATTCATAGATACTAATACTTTTGCAAGAAAAGGAAGAGTGAGGAGGGCTTTTCTATAATATTAATTAATTCCTTTTTTTAATAGTTATTTTGCTTACTTATTATATTTTTTTCCTCAAAATCCACCTCAATGGTGGGAGGTTAGGCAGACCCCTACATGTTCATTCCATCAGCAAAAGAGAGTTACAAGGAATGGAAGATAGTCCTTCCTCTATGGGGGTTAATAAGGATGAAAATTTCATATCCTTGTACAAAAAGTGTCATATACATATACTATAAGTTTGGATGTAGCTTACTTATTACATCAATTTAATTTAACAGTTTCTTTATTGATAGTCTAATAATTAATAATCATAAGAAACCGAATGATCTAATATTTGGAAGGATGATATCTTAGGCTAAAAGAAGATCTCTTGTATAATTTATTTACAAATTTTGAAATTGAAATGATACAAGACAAGCTTCAATTTGTGCAAAGTCTTCCTCACTTTTTTTTCCTTTTGTTTAAAAAAATATTGTCTATGTAGAAAAGAGAAAGAAAAGAGAAAATCATATATATTTCAAGTGAAGGTATGTACAAAATATATCTATCTATTTAATAGTGGAAAATTGAATAATGAATGAGACATGTACAAGACTGAATTTCAATTTTCAGCCATTCCAGAGAAATGTTACTGTGAGTCACATTTTAGCTGTAAAACGTGCTTAACAGTAACGAATTATAAAACGTTACTGACAATAACGTTTTATGTTTGTTTACTCTGTCAGATTTTTATCTTTTTGTTATTGAATTTTTTTGAATAAAATATAACCTAAAATGTTACTGCGAACTACGTTTATACTAATTTAATAAAATTTCAGAAAAATATATTATTTTGGTGAATTAATTTTAATAATGGCTCACTTTGGTAAAAAATTCTGAGAAATGTGAGGATAGGGTTCTGTTGAGGCTTTGGGGTGCAATGGTAGAGAGATCACTCAATTTCACGTGCTATAATTAAAATAATTTCTTTGTCATACTAAAATAGCTTAATTATATTTATTTCTTACAGTAAAAGTAATGTCAAATTAATAAATATATTTTACTATAACTTTAAGTTTTTACACTTTACTAGTTTTACAAGTAAAATTTGGGAATCAAGTCAGTTGGTTGACTATTCCAACCACAAAAAGAAGTAAACTTAAATTAATTTATTGAAGAAATATTTTTGTGATCTTCCTAATACTTTCTTTCTTCATTTATATTTATTCATTATTTTAAAAATAGATTTTCATTTTATTTGTCACTTTTAACATATCAAAAAGAGATTAAAAAAAATTCATATTTTATCTTTAGCATTAATTTACTTATTCTCTAAATTATCCTTCAAAACATAATAATAATTATCAATTAATAAGAATAATGTGATAAAATAAATAAAATTATTATTTTATTAATGAGTGTGTCAAATTCAAATATGACGTAAAAGTGAACGGGAGTAAATTATAAGCATTGAATAAGACTACTACTACTATATACGTGAAAAATGAAATCAATTCGAGAGTGGGGCGCCGCAAGACTTGGAAAGAGTATCACGGGATTGAGTACGATAGTCACAACTCACTAGACTTTCCACATCTTTTTTTTTTTAGGTGTCGGTAGTAATAAATGAGATCTTACCAAGGGAAGGATTTTCTTAAGTTTTTTCCTTGACTATCTAACAATGCTTCAAGGATTTTCTATATAAAAATTACGTATTAAATGATGACAATCAGACATGATACGGCTGCAAAGGTAGGGGCGATCGGGCGGATCCACAGACACGATTTAATGGTTCATGGTAGTGCTTAAGTGAGCCTGAGTTTAACATATTTTTTTTACTAAGCTAAGAGAGCACCCATAATTTTAAAAACCTAGATCCGCCACATATTCCCTGAAGATCTGAAGTTGCAATCCCTATTGGTCCGATTTCAGAGTTACAAGGCCGGGAACATTCAGATGACTGTTATTATGAAGCTGTGTAACCAACTCTCAAACACTTTGCTTCTTACTTTTATGGTGTCGTTGAATGGCCACACCGGAGAACAGACTTAGCCCAATTAATTGTTTTTATATTGTTAATTGATTCATTGTTATTTATTTTGAGTCAAACTAATCAATACACATAAAATAAAACAAATGGAATATTAGTTATGCATAGATATAACTGACATGCAGCATTTTGTATCAAAAAACAAACGTTATATAAGTAGTACGCAATTTTACATACGCAGTAAATTTTGTTATACATCAAACCATATATAAGTAATGCATAATTCTTATAGATAGATCTTATTCAAACCAAAACAACCCCTAAGTGAATGGATATGTTAGGGGCAAGAATAGAAATGTAGATATAAAGTAGCACTACATGTCAAAGAATGCAACTCTTGGCTACCTAGTTTTGCACTTCAAGAAAAGCTCTGAAAATTCCAAGGGAGTAGTATCCAGTATCAGCATTTATGTTAAAAATTCCGGGAGATTATATGCTTATCTCCAGTACTTTCGAATCCATAGTTTTTGAAGGGCAAACGGCACATAATTTACTCAATACTTTGAGTGCCAACTTCTTGGAACAATCTGCCAAAATGAGCTCTCTGAGTGTGTTGAAATGCTACAAACAGTAATCCAACTTCCATCTGCTGAAACCAACTTTTTGTCCTCTTAAGATACTACTGCTTCTGTATTCCATGTGTCACCAATCAATGTGCCAACCCTCTCTCCTTTAATGGCTTTAGCAATGTTACCTGTTTTATTGAGATTAAAAACGACAACTGCCAAAATGAAAAATAAGATTGGATGAGTCAATTTGTAAGTTGATTTAAAAGGGAAAGACTCGCCAATGACACCTCCAGAGTCATCCTGAAAATGATAAAAGGAATCCAAAGGCTGAAAACCTCGTACCTGGAATGTTATTCTCTTGGCACAAAGTAATTGCAGTAAGGTCCATCACTGAGAGCTCTTTTGAAATTACATCATGGTAAGTCAGGTTATCCTGAAGACGAGCATCAGGATTATGCTTAGGGTTATCATCATAGACTCCATCAACGTTTGTTGCCTTCAAGACCACCTCAGCATTAACTGCAATGCATTCAAAATTTGATTGGTGAGAAACAAAAAAAAAAAAAAGAAAGAGACGTGCACTCTCATATATGTTTCAGTAGCAGAGCGCCATTTGTCTCAAAGACCAAATCATCACTTGGATGAGAATCATTTGGGGACAAACAATTCAATCATGTTCCAATGTTTGTGTGTGACATGTTCCATTTAATGGAGATAAATATTACTCCCTCTGTTTCAACAAGAATGACCCCTTTCCTTTTTAGTCTGTAATCTGTTTCAAAAAGAATGGCCTCTTTCTTTTTTTTATAACATTTTAATTTCAGTTTTCCACGTGACATGTTTAAGGCCACAAGATTAAAGGGCAATTTTGTACATTTGACATAACTTTAATTTAGGACCACAATATTCAAAAGTCTTCTTTATTTTCTTAAACTCCGTGCCAAGTCAAACTAGGTCACTCTTTTTTAAACGGAGGGAGTTAGTAAACATAAGTGTTGAAGTGTGCATTCAATAAACTTGGTATATTCTTAGCCAAATAGCTTCACACGAGCAATGAAGAATTTCAACATAAACAACTACCCTTCAGTCCCAAACAAGTTGGGATCGACCATATGAACCTCACCGATCATATTTCTCTATTTACACTTAATTCATTTATTTCATCATGCCACCAAATAAAAATAAAGTGAAAAAAACTAAGTTAAATATATATTAAATAATGGTAATAACAATAATATTAAAAGTTCTCTATATTTTTATTGGCATCTATATCTATAATAAGATCAAAATACTCCTACGACAGCAATAAATTCAAAATCAAAGTACTAACAAGACTAAAACCTATTCTCAACGGGTAGATACTACCTATATGGATCTTTTTCTTCCGTTGTGCTTTATCTTTCCCTAAGTCTGCATTGATTTCAAGAAATTGTAGGTCGTTTGAGACAACTTTCTTCCATGTAATTTTAGGTTTACTTCATATACTTTTAACACCATCACCCACCATACTTTCACACCTACAAAGAGGTGCATCAGTAGGTCTATGCAGGACATGACTGAACCATCTCAAGCAACTATCTCAGTTTATCCTAATGCGTGCTACTTGCACCTTCTATTTAATGTGGTCATTTTTAATCTTATCTAATCTTGTATGGATGCACATCCATCTTTAGCATCCGCAACTCTCTAATACTCGTCTTTTGGATATGTTGGACTTTAGAGGCCCAGCATTCACTGCCATAAACATGGCCGGACATATAACTGTTCTGTAGAACTTACCTTTCACTTTGGTAGGCATTCTTCTATTACATAACACCCTGGGTAGTACTTCTTCCTTTCAACATGATCCATGAAGAATTGATTTTAAGAAAATTACCAACCCACCTCTGAAGGAACTTTAGTCATTATCCACTCCATTATGTACTTCTAAAATATAGGACAGTTTAAGGCGTATAGTGACCTTGTAACATTTTCTTCTTAGTTTTGTTTTCTCTTTTATCCAATTTAGGAAGGAAGAA